TATAAGATAAGATATAATAATAATTCATAAATTATTAAGGGTTCATGAGGGAGGGGGGAGGGGGGAGGAAGGAAAATGAGCTAATTCCAGGAACCCAAGAGGAAAGCAAATTTTGAAAATGATGAGGGCAACACATGTATAAGTGTGCTTTACACAATTGATCTATGTATTGTGATGAAATGTATGAGCCCCAATAAAATGATTTTTTTTTAAAATAGCCAGGCACCATGCCTTCTTAACCACATTTGCTTATACACCTGTTTTGTCTTCAGTGATTGTGTTGGGAGGGTGAACATCTCAGACTGCTGATTGGTTAGAGCAAAGTGTCCTTGTATTGAGGGAGGCCCAAAGTCCATCCCCTACCTCAGTGTACTGCCATATAAATATATGTACATGGGCCAATACCTCTAATTTTGTGGATTAATGTATTTACATATGTACACCACTATGTTTATACCTCTATCCATTGCTTTGCTTCCTTGGTCTTTCCTCTGTTTCCTTTTACCTTCCTCCTGCCCCACTGTCACTTTCCCCTTATTTCTGCCTGTTGGTACCTCCTCTTAGCTAGTTAGCTATTGCTCCAACACCCGCTCCAACAAACCCCCCTCCACCCCATCTCGGATCCCTATCTCCTCCTTGTTGTTGACTCCCACACCCCAGTTGTTCCCCTTTCCATGGGCAGCCTGCTCACCGCTCCCTTCTTCCACCACCCTCACCTCCCAGGTCTCTCCTGAACCATTGGTCCCGCTGCTCTCTCCTCGGCCATGCCTCCCGTGCCAGTCCTATAAAGGTAGGTACACCGACTATGACATAGCCCAAACTGATTTTTTAAATGAAAATAGTAAATAACACAATTATTTCTGATACAAAAGTCAGAACATTTCTTTCTCAAATACTTTTATGAAGGGAATTGCATAATATGATAATGTGGTTAAGACACTGTACCCTTATAATAGAAAAATAGGACACACTTTATGAAACTGTAAGATATCCATTAATAT